TGTGTCTCTTTTGGGGATGCATCTTCCCATGTCAGGAAGGCTATGCTTTAGACTTTTTCTTGTTTCAGTCCCCAAAGCAGCACAGCTCTTTGTCTTTAGAAGTGCTTAGGTAATCATGAAGAACGTATCAGTAAAAGGAATGTTTATCCTCTTTTCCCTTAGTGATGTTTTTCCTTTTGTATTTCTTCTGTTGTTCAGTTCTTTATTTTCTTCACAGGAGAATACTCTGCTGACTTACTCCCTGTAGAGGGATTTAGGCTCTTTCTTAGTTTTAGGGCTCTGCTTAGCGATAGAAATTGGAAAAAGAGGAAATCAACTTTCCAGTGTAGTGACAGTCTGGGGAAGAATCAGCAATTGGAGAAATTCTTTGTGAAAGGAAGCCAGTTCTTTGTCCTTGTAAAGAGGAGCTGTAGTGTTTCTAGACAGACTCATTTCCTTGAAGTAAATAACAAAGACAAAAACCAGAATGTGTGTTACCTAGGAACTCCTTTGTGTTTTGTTAAACATTCTTCATGTTTATGTTCTTCTCTGGCGGTAGCTGACTGCTTGTGTTGGGAGAGGAAGATAACACTGAATCTAAAAACCACCTTTGTGGTCAACCATGAAGTTTCCATCTGGTAAAATGTTGTAAAGCAAGAACTGCCATGTGGGTCTGTAAAACTCTAATCTATGGCGCTAACACAAAATTGTCTGATTCTTTTCTAGCTGGTTCCAGGAGGAGAAGGACCTGAAGTATAAATTGATGCAGTTGTCATCTATGAAGACATGTTTTTTATATATATATATATATATATATATAAAGCATCTCTGCTCTAAAAACAAAGTCTTGTTTGTTAAAGTTAACACACAAGCTTATATTATTGTATTCCTGAAAGAATGCACAAACGTTTGCTGGGGGTGTGGGGGTGTGTTGTGTAAATTCTTGACTTATTTTGAAAAAAACCCATAACGTCTGTGAAGAAATTGCTAAAAACAATGTGTTTTTCTTTTCAAATACTCTTATTTTCTTCTCTTTTGAGTTGACATTTAATATTTGGGCATTTATCTATCCTGAATATATGTATTATTTGTGCACTCTTTATTTCAGCATGGTGAGTTTTATCATGGTACATGACACCATTTGTTTTTTAGAAAATACTTATCTCCATTTCATTTATACTCTTACTTCTTTAGCAGACTTTGCACCTGACAAACACAGCTCTTGAAAAAAGTTGAAGTTACTCTTCTACAGTTTGATTTGAACAATTCTGCATGCCAACATTTATGGAAATTTCTCTTTACAGCATGCAAAAAATGCAAAGAAGCACCTTTCTCATCCTACAATAATGGTGAGATGCAAGATTCAGCTTCACAATAAGTCTACTGTGGTTTAACAAGTTATCACACATCTGTGTCAAATGCTGTACACCCAAAACAGTGAAGAGGGGTAGTGATAGGACAGAATGGCAGGAAAAGGTGGAAATCGAGGGAGCATCTGGAATAGAGTCACAAGAATAGTCACCACCATGGATCCGGTGGCATCCTGTTGGTCCTCAGTCTTCAGTTCTTGGTTACTGACCAAGTTCAAACCAGGACACTTTTTTATGAGAGAGCAGACTGGGTATGTTTACCTGATGTAGAATTTTTTTAAAAATATTCCCAGGTTATTGGGGCATAAACTGAATCGCAATTTTGGAATAGGTGTTTTCTATCTTAGCGCATTTCACTCAGTTGTGTTTTTATAAAATTTTATATCTGATCAAAGTCTGTGAAGTTTCATTTTTAAGTTGTAAGAAAATTAGAACCTTTTTCACCTCAC